TGAGTAATTACCTTTCTTCAGAAAAACCCATAAATCGGAAAATCCTGTTAGGTAGAAACAAAATATATGATGGCTTATCTTTTCTGTTTAATAAACATTATTTTCTCGATTCACAGAACTTTCATAAAATCACCTCAAGGCCATATCAGAGCAAAATAGTATTTCTTATGTTAACAAATCTTGAACTATAAACACTTTTTGTACTTTGTTTTAGCATATGTACAACCTAAGAAAGACAGCCAATGCCCTGATGGATTCATGCTGAGATCAAACCTCTGTTGTAAGTTGTACTTTGCTTCAAAGGACGTTCACTTCTAATTTTTCAATAAATCACAAAGGATAAAGTGCTTTGAATAAACGAAGCAGTGAAATATTAATTACATATTTCATCCTATATTTTATTTTTCATTGTCAATGTTAACACTATTTATATCTTAGTGATCCTTTTCTTAGATCCATGCCAACCAGGATATTTTAGAGGAACCAAGGAAACAACATGCATTCCTTGTCCACGTGATAATTACAATTATGAATATGGCTCTTTAGGGTGTTTCCAATGTCCAAGTGGCACTTACACAACTCCAGGAGCATTACTTACTTTTGCATGAATTTAATGTGGAAATTTTGTCTCCAACCTTTCTACACACATAACACTCACGTTAAAGGTAAGTTTCAAATAAACATCTATTCATATTTTTCAATCAAAAACACACACATCCTATAATGAATTTAACGGTGAAAAAGAACTAAGGAATTAAGACGTTTTACCTTCACCAACTTGAATATTATTCATCACATCCATAATGTAACATTATTTACTCTTTTAAACAATTCACCTCTCACCATTTTACCACCTACAGCAACTTGGGTATAACACGATTCACCAAACCACATCCTCATTTCCAACAATTCATTGTTCACAGTTTAGGTTTTCTGTTTAAAAAACATATCTCAGACAGGGACTAGTAATTGTCTACCATAGATAGTTTCCTTCTCCTGGTACTGTTGGG